CGTCACATTGCGCCGTCATTGGTAGTTTCAATACGCACTATCATGATTGGTAGAATCGCAGCGCGTGTGATGCCGCGATTACAAAAATGCTGGGCTGCTTTTTTAAATTTGCTGCCCCTGCAAATTTGCCACCCTAGCCCTAGGCCTTGTTGGCCTAGGCGATAATACGCCGCTGCTTCCAGTCAATGGTTCTCGTTGTGCCTTTCTTCACTAGGTTAAAGAGCTCTTTAATACTTGGTATTTTCTCCCTGTGAAGCTACTTAGACACTATGATCAAGTCACCTTTCAGTCTTCTTTTTAATAAATTAAACAGATCGAGCTCCTGAAGGACTCCTACTCACCTGTTTATACATTCAGGGGCTGCATTAACCCTTCTGGCCACCATGGGAGCTCATGTTTTGTTCCTTGTCCACTTTGAGCACTAACTCCTTTTCACAATCATTGCTTTCCAGGATACAGTTCCCCCTACTGTAGCCTTCATTTTTGTTCTTCCACTTCCAGTACCCGTTGAAACCATGAAGTACCAAAGGTAACAAATAATGAATGAATGGTAGAGAGAAGTAATCAAATTATTTTGATCTTGAGGGAAGGCTTTCGCCAGTAATTTTTGGTGAAGGTACAGCTCTATTTTTATTCAAACCAGGTTGCCTATTTTAAAATCGAGCATTTTCTGCAGACCCCTAACATGAAGTATTTTTATGTAATTCTATATTACTGCATCAAGTAAAGTATCTTTTGTATCTCACCATCAGAAAAAGGGCAATATTTTTAATGAAAAATATTTCTAAATGTTAAAGGGCTTAAGATGCTGAAGCAGACGCCATTAGTGTCTTTCTCTTCTCATTTACACAGCTGTAAATCTGGAGCAATTCCACTGAGGTCAATGGAATAAACTAGTATGAGAAGAATCAGGCCCTAAATGTCCTTATGCAGTAAGGAACCCCCTAGATGTTTCCTGCTGTGTGACTGGACATTTGTATGTAGACTTGTGGCATTACCCAGGGTACCATCTGGACTGCTGAATAGCTGTGTCTCCTCAGTTCTCCAACTTTGCATGCCTTTTACACTGCTTTACTCAAGAACAGCCACTCCTTGCTAGTTAACACACAGCCTCCAGCTTGTAACTTGCTCCTAGTTACACAGCACTGAGTGCTACTAGCTAGCCAGTCATGAATCACACTGCAGAAGAACACCAGAAGATTCTCTAGTCCCAAACTTTCCCCCAGAAATGTGCATCCTGTATTGCCCAGCACACTACTGAACAGTGCAAGCTCATATAAAGTCCGTCATTTCATCACAGGAAAATTATATGACCAGCATTGCTATCCCAAATGGAGTTTCCCACCCATTTAATCCAAACACACTGGTTAAGATAAAACAATAAGATAAATTTATTAACTACCTGAAACAAAAGTAAGATTTTAAGTGACTACAAGTAAAGAGGCATAAAAGTGAGGATTGGTTACAAAATAAATAAAAGATGAAATGCAACTGACATCTAACTTAACAAGCTAAAAGGGACTTAAAGAAAATATCTTTCTCACCAGATGCTTTGTAGTCCACTGGCTGAGTTTCTTTTCAGCCAGGATCTCTCTGCCCCCCTCCCCACACACACACAAAGTTCAGTTCTTTAGGAGTCGTTGATGTCATTAGAAGAGATGAAGGAGGAGAGTTAGGTCAAGCATTTTTCTTCCCTCTTTATAATTCAATTTCTTGTACTAGAGACATCCTTGCGCAGTCATGGTGAAAAACAGTCTCTTGTGGATGTGAGTCATCCCTGTGATGGAAAGTAAATTTCTTGTTCACACGTTCTCCCCTGCTTGATAATGTTCAGTTAACTAAGTTATAGCCTTGTTGTCTCTGCAAAACTGTTTTGGCCTGCTTTCTAACTCTGGAGCATGTTACAGCAATGTTGTAGAGTAGAATCTTATAATTGTACATACAATGATGATACACACATTTTACCAGGACAGTAATGTTCAGCAGACCGAGTTGTCAAATGATACTCACAAGATGTACTTTGTACAAAATATATCATAACCTTTTAACAGAGTGATCATAGGGGCCTAGGCTGTCACAAGGCTGCTGGGAAAATTGTAAGGCATCATTGTACTATGAAAGAAGTCAGACAGAAATAAAATAGGAAAACTTGCCAGTACATAACATGTTGCAAGTGGAAACAGAAAGTTTTGGGGGTTATTGGGAGCAGGTTGCAATTCCAGCTAACAGTTGGTGCAATTAAGAAGTCAATCTACCTGGATTAAATTCCTCTCCCCCCACAAATTATTTTTCTCTCCATGAATCATCTCTGAAGCTATGTGAACTGGATGTAATGATCTTCAAAGGAAGAGAGATTCATTAGTACAGGGATTGGCAACCTTTGGCCAGTAGGAGCTGCGATCAGCCGAACCTGTGGACGCAGAAGGTAAACAAACTGCCTTACCCTGGCGGTCTGCATGCCAAAGGTTGCCGATCCCTGAATTAATATATTCCTATGGGCAGTGCAGTAGTTGGGAAAATGACATCCATGAGACAACTGACCTTTCTGTTGAATAGGTCAGCATATCTCCAGGCCAAGATTTACAACTATTTGCACCCTCAAGAGGTGCAGAAAGCAGCAGATCACTATAGATTAATCGAGCCCTTTGATATCTTCTTTTTTTTTTTAAATTCCATTTGAATATTTGATGTTTGTGAAGCACAAGTATGATTTAATAAAGTGTTACCTTTCAGAAAAAAATTAATTAAGAGGTGTCTTTCAATTGAATTTCACTTGTTTAATAAATAATATTAAAGGGGAGAAAAGTTTTAGAATGTTGTGGAATTAATTATTGGTCTTTTCCATTGCTAATACAGCTATTTTCACTATTAACATGTTACTCAGATGTTGCTGGAGACTATTTTAAAAGAAATTCTAACTAGTCACTAGCCAAAATCTTGGCTTGTTTGTGTGGGGGTGCTAGTGCAGATGGCTAGTCCAAATAGCCTCTTCACAATCCCCATTGCTTGCCCTTGGAGAGGCTTGGCAAGAGACATGGATAGCACTCCTGTCCTTCATTGCTATATTTTTCCATCCACTGCACCTCTGAGTTAGGTCAGGAATTCTCCCTTTATTTGGATATGTTATAATATAACATAAATAATTTATGACTATGTTATGAATGGTGAAAATTAGAGAAAAGATATTTAATTGTTTTAAAAGAATATTGTTCAACTTTATTTAATCAGTGCATTTTTACACAGTATTTTTATCCATTGGAAGCCTACAAATCTGTGAATAGCATTTTAATGCAGTAAAGTTATCCTGTGAAGTTTAGCCAATCTTTGATGTTTTTTTAATCAGCCATTACTTCAAAGTCTAATTGTCTAATTTACAGCTAGGGTATTAAATCTAAGACAATAATTAATAAATAAGAAACAATACAGCATTTGTCACATGGGAATAAGATCATGCCTTAGATGTGAGATTTAAAACAAAATGGCTTGCTAACTACTACTTGAGAGGCTTTATCTGACAGAATGTTTCCAAGTATTAAATAATACTTTGATCATGAATCAGTTAGGAGTCTCTTGAGAGCCAAATAAAAGGTATTGTCTTTTTTTAAAAAGTGATGTATTGTGATGTATTATTCTCTTATTGTCATTAAAGGCCTGATTGAATAAGTATGTGAATGTATCAGATCTTGATGTGGTGATTGGTACTGAATACACATCCTCATGCAAGGGGAGTGAGCATCTCCCAGGGCTGTTCCTGCTCCCTCTAGCAGCTATGCACTTGTGCATTGACTGTTCTGAGAATATAAGATGAGGACTATTGTTATGGTTTACTACGGTGTGTAGGACTCATTCTATGTTTAGGTTTCCCCCAAACATTTTCTGATCCTATTATTTTCTGTAAATATCCATACCTGACAAAGGACAAAGTCACATTATTATAAGATGACATTTGAATGAAAGTTTAAAGATCTGGTGTTTGGGTCTTAAAGAAATAGGATATTCCTGATATGTATATTTTTTCAGTATATTAGTTTTATACAAATTATGTCCCCAGACAAACCAGCCATAGATGGTGGCAATTAAGCAGTTAATTTTCTATAGGTAATGTGTCCTAAATAAACAATTTGTTTCCACTAAATTTTGATGTCTTTGCTCATATTTAATAGTATCTTACACCAGTGGTTCTCAAACTTGGACTGCTGCTTGTTCAGGGAAAGCCCCTTGTGGTCTGGGCCAGTTTGTTTACCTGCTGCATCCACAGGTTCAGCTGATCGCGGCTCCCACTGGCCGCGGTTCACCGCTCCAGGCCAATGGGGGCTGCAGGAAGGAGCGCGGGCCGGGGGACGTGCTGGCCGCCCTTCCTGCAGCCCCCATTGGCCTGGAGCGGCGAACCGCGTCCAGTGGGAACTGCGATCTGCCGAACCTGCAGACGGAGCAGGTAAACAAACCGGCCCAGCCCGTCAGGGGCTTTCCCTGAACAAGCGGCGGCCCAAGTTTGAGAACCACTGCTTTACAGTAATCCCACTGAAATCTAAATTGCTATGTGTGGAGTTCAGGGTGTTGTACAGTGTTTGCTGTGAGTAAAGGTACCACAATCTGGCCTTTTGGAAGGTATTAAGAGCACCTCTGATCCATGGTACCAATTTCTCTCATAATCTGGCTTTGACACCAAGGGGTGGTTATCTTAACAAAAGTGACATTATTTCTGATCCTGACATGATAGGGCCTCAGTGACTAAGACTGTAAACCAATTTGTCTATTCTGCTTTTGTACTTCTGTGCTTATGCACCACTTGAGTTACATTGTGATGCAAAAACAAATTATAATGGGAAGTATTAGCCCACTTGTCATTTTATATCTCTCCATCTACAGATATTAATAAAATACTGATACTACTTAACATTTTTAATAAATAAAAATCTGTGAGTGTTCTTAATGTAATCATTTTAGGGAACTAATGGAAATGCAGTAATTTTACTGACACCTATGTCACTTTTTTGTAGGCTTGTTCTCAGTTCTGTCTCTGACTACTTTGCTGCCATGTTTACGAGTGATGTTTGTGAGGCCAAGCAAGAGGAGATCAAAATGGAAGGCATCGACCCTAATGCGCTGTGGGATCTTGTTCAGTTTGCATACACAGGTACTATAATGTATTCATTATGTTTCCCAGAAAGGAGGATATTGAGATTTGTTTCCTATGAGTTAACTGGAGGTATATCTTATGTATGTTTCTGATTCAGTATTAATTTAAAACCCTTCATTTAATACGTGTTTGGAATATTAAATATCATTCTATTTTTTTATCGATCATCATTCTGCACCTTAGACTCTGAACTCAAATCTCCAAAACCTATATAGGATCTGGTTTGGTGGAAACTTGGAGTGTCCAGGAAAAGGCATTTTTTAGATAGTCGTAAATGACATTCTACTTAATGTGCCAGGTGTGATCTAGCATGGTATTATCTATCACTGTTGAGAAAAGCACTGTGTATTGGATAATCCTAAAACACAGGTTCTTTAATGGCCATATGTGGTCAGGACCTATGGCACTTTTTGGAAGTACAGGAGTGTTCTAATGTCCTGGTCAAATTCTATTTACTTTATACTTTTAAAAAAAATCCTGTTGTAGTTTGAATTGGATACAGTCTTCTTCAATTCCTGGTCTAGCCTTTCAATCTGTTATGTAGTGTTTCTCTATGTTACTGAACAGCTGTGTTTTTCTGAACAGCTGCTGTATTTTATTACTGAGTGAAGTCAAATCATATATATGTATCTCACACACAAAGACAACATTAAAAGAACATTAAGGTTGCAAAGTCAAGAACTCAAAAGACAGGAAATACCAGAATTAAGGTAGTCTGTGCAACTTTAATTTGCCCCCTTTGTGTATGCATACAGCCGTTAATTATGTGATCACATACTGTTTTTTTCTCACAGTGTACCAGCCCCATTCAGTCCACAAAATGGACGGTGGTGACTGAATGAGCTGCTATTCAATGTTTGGGGTTTTTTTCCTCACTGTTCAATGTGTAGCCCCAAGCACTATTTACTGCACTCTATTCCAAATCTTTTCAGACTATACAATTATTAATTTCATCGTGGGGTTTTATTTTCCCCATTTTCATCATTGTAATATTTGAGTGCTTCACAAACATTAATGAATTATTTTCAAAGTACTCATGTAAATTCAAGGGATTTTATTATCCCCAATTTACACATGAGGAGGTGAGACACAGAAAGATTATGGTCAAAAGTGCCCACTACTTTTGGGTGTGCAGTATGAGACACATATGCCTGATTTTTCAGCATACTTAGCATTATATAGCACTTTTATGTGATGGTTCTCATGGTACCCAGGACTTTGAGTCACCTTGTTACCCCCCTGCAACAAGCGAGAGAGAGGCTTGCTTGTGCTTAACTGGCTGTCAGCTACGTGACACCTCCACTTCAGCCTGGTAGCCTCCCTCCCAAAAAATCTCCTCTGAGCTATGTCAGCCTTTACTTTGTCTTGAAGGTTAAAAATTGATGTATCCCACTCTTTAAGCCTCTTTGAAGTGTACCCCTGTAGTTCAGCCCCTTCTCTACTGAACAGGCCACAGAAATACCACATTATGTGTACACAGCAGCTTGAATGACTCAACTCAGGATCAGCCCCCTGTACAATACCACCACACTGAGATATATTTATAGGAAAAACAATCGTAAGTTTATTACCAAAGATCAAAATTGAAGAGATTGTGAGCAAGGATGATGAAAACAGAAGGGTTGCATATAATACAAAATCATAACATGATTCCTAGAGACTAAACTTAACAGGCCAACCTCCAGTCTAAATAAATTTCTCATCCTAAATGTCTTCTGCAGTGTTTCAACCAGGGCTAGTTGTGATCATGGTTGAATGTAATCACACTGCTCGGTTACTTCCTATGTGCAGGATAAAGTTGTCTTCTTTGCCTTTCTCTTATATTCTGAAAATTAATTGCAACCCAGTGTGTGCAACTGAGATTTTTCAGCAGCTTATAACTTAGCAAAGTTGTGCATTTTTCTCTCACAAACAGCGGAAGGCATATCCAAGCAAAAAAGGCAAACCTGCACCACATTTCTAGTCCTCAAACCAAAGGCTGGGGCTGCTAGACAGCTGGCCAATAAAACTTTTGTAATAACTTTTTTTTGAGATGGGTAAAACATTTTTTCCTCTTATATTATTACCTGAAACAGCTCAAACATTTTAGCTGAAAATTCAGCCTGAGGCAAATATGTGAGGTTTTTAAGGTCCGGCTTGACAAAGCCCTGACTGGGATAATTTAGTTGATGTTGGTCCTGCTTTGAGCAGGGGGTTGGACTAGATGACATCCTGAGGTCTCTTCCAACCCTAATCTTCTATGATTCTATGATATGGAAAATTGCAGCTGAATAGTGAAAGTTTGTCAAAGAAGTGGGAAGTGTCAGGCAAACATAAATATAGCAGGTGCTACCATCTCTGACTATAAAACTCTTGTATTAGAGATCAGCTAAGAGTGGAAAGGCAGATCCAAACCCTCTCAAACTTTAGCTAAGTTTAGCTCTGGATCTGAACTTTGGGGCTCAGGCACACCTCTATACACAGGGTCCAATCCTTGGTTCTGAACCAACTCAAACTTTGTGGAAATTTGTATATAAATCAGGATTCTAACTGTACATCTTAGGTCCATTTCAGATAATTAGATATTATATGTTAAATGCTGGCAAATGGTCATTCATTGTCGGAGTCAGTTTAACTTCAAAGTTCCCAAGAGCTTGATTCTTTAAATTGATATGCTAAGGGCTATTGAGTACAGGAGCCGGGGCAAAGTTTGAAGTGTGAGCTTTCCAGAAGAGACTGCAAAAAGGCCATCAGTATTTTATCAGATTTCCACCATGCTGGTGTCCTTACATCTACAATTTATAAACATACAGGAATTTCTTCTGTGAGATGCCCATGTTAGGTTTCCAGTTTGTAGAGAGGCAGTAATTGACTTTACTAACTCCATTTGTCAGAATTAGACAACAAAATCTCCATAATTATATCTGGATATGTGGTACCAAAAATTACATTAATTTCAGATTTAGTTGCTGTTGTCTGAGACAAAGTCTTTACTTGGGGGCAGTTGAGTGTTACAGTAAATCAAGGATGATTATGGGCTTATAGCAGTTTTTGAAGAAACCTATCAGAACAGAAAAAAGTGATCACACCATACGTGCTGACAGTATAGCATTGCCACCAGTTTTAAACAGGTGTAAACAATTATATGTCCTTGTTATATTAATGTAATCTGTCTGCCAGTTTTACAGTGGTTTAGAGTCTAATGAAATTATTTGATCTTTATCACACACTAAAAATGTAAGCAGTGTTAATAGGTGCCTGAAAACCTGTATTTATAAATAAAAGATCAGTGTTTGAGATAAAAGCATCCCCTTATTGATCATTGGCTGCTCTCTTCAATTAAAGTAATAAAACAAAATAATGTTACAACACTTGAAAACTGAACCTCCCCAAAGATGAGTGAGTGTGTGTTCATCACAGATACCGAGGTTGATAGATACTGACATCTATCCAAAAGGGGGACTGCTATCAGTTACTACATCCTGTGATCGATAGAGAGAGGCTTTTATCTTAAACATCAAGCCCTTATTGGTATCTCTACAGATTTTCAGCTTCCTAGTAACACTGTTTTTGATAATAACAACTCGTTCATGGGAACTGCACTCTCTACGACTCCGACAAGGGCATGGTCTTTTGGGCAGTTAAATCACTTGGGGCTGCTGAGTGCTCAGCACTTTTGAAATTCAGGACACTTATTTCTAAAAAAATAAGAATTTTTTTCATACCTTACACAAAATGTCCAGTTACTTCAAACCAACAAATTCTCTATCATCTTTTTTTTGAGGGTACACTAAAATTCTTTCATAAAAGTCCTTGCTGGGGTGTATTCAAATGAACTGTTCCTTCTCTCAGTTCATACATATCAGTCTGGCTTTCTACAGTATTGGACAGCCAGCAACAATGTAAGGAGAATAAAACCTTATTTACTTCCTGCAGTGGCAAAAAAACCTCATGAACTCATTCTAAATCTTGACTCAGCAGACACAGTCAAATGGCTTCTTTAGGAGATTTATTTTCAACTCTAGAATTTTTCAGTATTGGTCCCCAATTTTGTACATGGGTTAGTGTCTTTGATCAAAAGCTACCTGTTACAATATTGATACATGTATAATCAGAGCTCTCTAAGCTTGTGAGGGGAACAAAGCAAAGCTGTTCTTTATCATTCTTATTATATGAATTAATTCATTGAACTTTTGCCATTGTTTTTTCATTATCCTCATCTACCTAACTATCTGAGTCTAGATCCACAAAAGGGCTTAGGCACCTAAAGTGACAGTTAGATGCTGAAGTCCAACATTTAGGCACCACAGAGATGCCCCAAATCCCAGCTCAATTCCCACCTAACCCTGTAGGCACTTAATGTCTGATGTGGAGAAGAAATTTGAATTTAGTCTCTCACCTCTCAGATGAGTGCCCTAACCACGAGACTATAGACTCATTCTCGCTGTTTCCATTACAGTTTATTTATTTAATTATTGATACACGGTGGAATAGCTTCAACAGGAGACATTGAGAGCACCCTTATCAAAATAGCCCATGGTCAAGTGGTTATGGCACCTCTCCTTAGAGGTGGGATATTCCAGTTCAAATTCCTACTCCAACATCCTTGGTGAGTGTCTTAACTACTGGGCTAAAAGTTATGGGGGGGGGATTGCAGTACCATTTCTTGCAAAAAAAACCCGACTTAGGCATCTAAATCCAGGAGAGGGTTCACGGCTCAGAAGCCCAAGCAGAGATAGGCACCTAACTCCATAAGAGGTGTGGTGCTTAGGCCACATCACAGTCCTCAGCATTTCCTACTGGCTCCTTGCTTAACATTCTGGCTTTTGTAGATCCCATTCTTAGGCACCTATCTCTCCCCATGTATTGTACAGGGAGTGGGTCTAGCCTGTAAGAGACTGCTTCACCTTGTGCCACACTGCCAGAACTGAGATCAGCAGAGACATGCAAGAGGGAACACCTTTGGTGTAAATCAGAAGGGGCTAGTGGCAGAGTGTTCTCTGTGAATGTCCCTCAGG